ATTGACTGGAATCGACGTTGGGTTGAAGCTTCCCCTCATAAGAAAGAAGAACAATAGCCAGGAGCGACAACCACCAGCGACAACATCGCCCCCTCCCTTGCCCCGACTAGGGTTCGGCGTCATACCATTGACTGGAATCAACGTTGGGTTGAAGCTTTCCCTCAGACGGTAAAAGAAGAATCACCCAAGAGCGACACCACCAGCGACGACATCACCAACTCCCTCGCCCCGACTAGATCGTCACCGTTGACTCAGACGGAATAAGAAGAATCGCCTAGCGATTAAATCGGCGGAAAAAAATCAATCTGCGACTGGAGGAGCTGACGGAGAAGATTGAGAAGAAACGTTGGCTATTGGAAGAGGATTGGTAGAAGGCGGGCACAGGGGAGAAAAGCTTGTTGAGTCGACAAGAAGGTCAGAGTCTGAGAGAGGATAGTCTCGAAACAAAATAAAAAATAATGAGGGATTTCAAAATAATCGATGGGGATAAGCTATTTGAAAATCCTACACTCGTAGGTTTTTGAAATCTCTTATAGCTAAAATCCTTATATTTTAAACTCTTTCCAAACATAGTATTGTGGTAAAATTCGGGAAGGTTAAGAATTATGGTAAAATTCTGCACTACAATCTCTCATCTAAACGACTCATTAGATGTCATTCAAGAGGATTGACGACGAACTTAAACAGCTTGATAGATTAAACACAACATAAAACTAGGATTAATGGTTATACAAGCCCCTGTAATATGCAAAGATAACAAACAAGCCCTTATGCTATGATATTCTCAAACCAAGCCCTTGTACTATAGCTGAATAACAAATGGACATCTCCGTTAGGCTTCCCGTTAACATAAATTTCATGTGGCGAACTTTGCACTTTCAGCAAGATTTTGGACCTTAAATATCCGAATTACCCTTGTTATTTTCTCTTTCCAATTTTCTCAATTTTATCGAAACCCTACTGTAAACCACTAAAAAGAACTTTTTTCTTAGGAAACCAGAGCGAGAGCGGGAGCGGGAGCGGGATCGAGAGCGTCAGAGCGTTGAGTTTTAAAGAATTCCATTTTAAGAGCGTGAACAAAGCTTCAATATTATATTATTATTAAATTTTTATAAATATATTTAAACAAAAATTATAAATATATTTGAACACAGTGTGAACAGAGTTTTAAAGAATTTTTATAAATATATTAAATTTTTATTAAGAGGGTGTTTTCCAAGAACTAGGAGTGTTTTTTGGGAATTTTAATGCTATTATTGATAGTAGTGAGGCTTCGAACAGTCCTTGTTCTAATCAGAGCATGGTTGATTTCCAACAATGGATTTTGGAAATGCAATTGATTGATCATAAAACTCTTGGTTCTTGGTTTACCTGGTGGAACAAGCAGTCTAACAATCCTATAGCTCGTAGGATTGACCGGGTCCTAGTTAATCTGAAGTGGTTAGAAGTTTTTCCAAACAGTTTGGTTCACACAATTGCACCTGGTGTTTCTGACCATTGTGGTCTTGTGGTTCAAACGGATTCGAAGCTTACTATGTTGCCAAAGCCTTTTAAATTCTTTTTGTTTTGGACGCAGAGGAAGCTTGGCAAGTGGAGGCTATAGGGGCACCTTATAGTGTTCTATACAAGAAGCTGGGTGAATTAAAGGCAAAGCTCAAAGGGTTGAATAGAACTGAATACTCAGAATTGAAGCAAGGGCAAGAGAAGCTGAAGCACAATTAGAGCTGCTACAAAGTAGTGTGTTGTGTGACCCTTCTATAGCAAACACACGGGCAGTTATTGAGCAGGAGAAAAAGTGTCGAGAGTTGCAAAGTGTTGAGGAACTATTCTATAAACAAAAGTCTAGGGTCCAATGGATAACAAAAGGGGATGCTAATACTGGTTTCTTTCATGATGTTGTTAAAACAAGGAATCATAGGCAGACCATTCAGAGGTTGGTTTTTGAGGTTTTAACTGATGTGAAGGGAATGAGTAATCTAGTTGTGGAATTCTATAAAGGCTTATTAGGGGTGGCTGATCTTAATGTTCAGCAACAACCTATAGAATTTTTTGAGATTTTGCTAGGTCATAAGCTAACATCTGAGGATGCTGCTATACTGACTTCTTCTGTCACTCGTGAAGAGATCAAGCATGTATTCTTTAATATGGGAAGAGATAAGGCCCCTGGATCTGATGGCTATGTTGCTGAGTTCTTCAAGATGGATTGGGATATTGTGGGGGTTGACGTGGAGAACACTGTTATGGACTTCTTTACTACAGTTAGAATGGCTAGGCAGGTAAACTCTACAGTAGTATCACTATTTCCTAAGATCCCTATAGTTGAAAAGATGAAGGACTTTCGTCCTATTTCGTACTACAATGTTATCTACAAAGGGATTTCTAAGTTGCTATCTCGTAGATTGTCCTTGATTCTGCCAAAATTAATCAGTACAAGCCAATATGCTTTTGTCAAGGGTTGTTTAATAAGTGACAATATCTTAATGGCAACAGAATTAGTAAAAGACTATCATAAGAGTAGAACCTCAAGATGTGCACTTAAGATAGATCTAATGAAAGCATTTGACTCAGTGAATTGGTGTTTCCTGTTTAAAGTGATGATTGCTATGGGTATGCCTACTGAATTTGTGAAGTTGGTTGAGGCTTGTGTAACTTCTCCAATGTTGAGTGTCTCCTTCAATGGAGGTTTGTGTGGGTACTTTGCAGTTGCTAAGGGTTTGAGATAGGGGGATCCACTCCCCCTATCTTTTTACCATAGCAATGGAAATTTTCTCTTGTCTATTACAAAGGGCAGTTAATAGTGGGATTATTTCGTTTCATCCACGATGTAAGAGTCTTGGTATTACACATCTTTGTTTTGCAGACGATTTGTTAGTTTTTTCTAATGGATCGTCTCAAGCAATTATTGGAATTAAACAGTTATTGGATCAGTTTTATATTGTCTCAGGTCTTAAATGCAACCCCCAGAAGTGTCAACTATTCTATTCAGGGCTATCTCAAAATGATAAGCAAGCTATTTCTCAGCAGTCTGGGTTTCCATTAGGGGTTCTTCCAGCCCGTTATTTGGGCGTACCTCTCCTTTCTGGAAAACTGACATTTGTCGATTGTGAGTGTCTTGTGGAGAGGATCATTAAGAGAATCCAAACCTGGCAGGCTCGATCTTTAAGCTATGCTGGAAAGCTGCAATTGATAGATTTAGTGATTACAAGTGTATTCCCGTATTGGATGTCGATTTTCTTGCTTCCTCTAAAGGTGCTTAAGATGATTGAGAATTCTTGTAACAGATTCTTGTGGGGTGTGGATGGGGACAGAAGGAAGAAAGCTCTTGTTGCTTGGTCACAGGTAGCTTTGCCAAAGAAAGAGGGATGCTTAGGCATTCAAGATTTTAAAAACTGGAACAGAGAATGTGTAATTAGGAACTTATGGAATTTATTGGCAAAGTCTGGATCTTTATGAGTTGCTTGGATGAACACATATAGGATAAAAGGGAGGGATTTATGGTCCTTTTCTCCTTGCTCTGTCAGCACGTGGCTTTGGAGGAAGATTCTTAAGTGTCGAAACTTGGCACAACAACATATTGCAGGAGTTGGTGAGTCTTTGGAGTGGGATGGTTGCTGCTGGGCAAAGTACTCAATAAAGAAGGTGTGAGAGTCCATTTGAGTGCCTTCCTCTACCGTGCATGGTTTCAGAACTTGTGGCACAAACCAGTATACCCTAAGCATTGCATTCTACTATGGCTAATCATATTGGGGAGAATAAGGACTAGAGACAAGTTGATAAGCTGGGGGGTGGGATGTGATGAAAGTTGTGCTTTATGTCCTGGGGGCAAAGATAGTAGAGAGCACCTTTTTGGCTCCTGTTCGTTTGGGATTACAGTTTTGCAGCACCTACTTAAAGGAGTTTGGTCATTTCCAGGTTTCTCGAATTGGCAGGGTCACCTTGCCTGGGCAGAAAGCAGCTGGTCTGCAGCTTCTGATGCAACAGCTGTTAGTAGGGTGCTCTGGTTGATGGGATTGAGTGGTATATGGAGAGAGCGTTATGCGAGGTTCTATGAATCAGTAGCAGTCAACTCTCCGTTTCAAGTGGCAGCAAAAATTAAGCAAGAATGTCTGGTATTTGCAGGTAGTCATATAAATTTCCAATTGAGAGTGCATAAGCTTAATGTAACTAGTTAGCTATTATTAGTTTTCGTTGTTTCATGGAGTTGTAAACAGATAGTGACTTTTTGAGAGGGAAGTTGCGAGTTGCACTTCCCCGGGCTTCAAATACAATTTTTGATTAACCATAAAAAAAAAACACACACACAACAATCTCACAAAAAACTTGAGATTAAAATGAGTGATAGTTTGTATCATATCAAGCAAACGATGCATGTATTATTTGTGCAGAAAATTCAGAAAAACGATGCATTCTGGATAATACATGTATTGTAACTATATCAACCAAACAATCACCAAAATCAAACTACCCCTAAATATTCAAATACGAACATGCATATTACTATCGCTAACCGGCCGACGGGCCGGGTTATAAGCGGTTAGACCTATGCACTGTTGCCTCGTTTTGTAAAACCTACGAAGTACTCAACTAGACATGCCCGAGTCACAGCCCAGGTGCCAGAACGTTCCTAAAACAATGAAAAATGATGATGCTAATTATTTTTCCTTTCCCTATTTCCTGCTTTGCGCCGGACTCCAGTAGCAAAGTGTAGAAAGTTGATGAAGGGACGAGGAGGGAATTAAAAGAAAAACGAAGCAAACCAACAGGAGGCTTGTAGAAGTGTGGGCAGCAATTATAAATCGCCATTCCTGCTTCTGGTAGTCAAGAAGAAAGAACACGATTTTCTTAGCATTCAATCAAAGTTCTTATGATTCAGCCAGGAATCCCAACTGATCGAGAAGACTCCAATTTCAGAGAGTGATCAGTTGTTCACTCGGTTATCAATTATCGCTTCTCTGCTCTCTCTCGGAGGCTAGGGTTCTGGCGCAGTTCCTCTTCCGTAAATGGACGATTGCGGGTTTCACGACGGCAATTTCCATAATTTGCTGGAGAGCAGATGCTTGGACGTTCGACATGTATGGCTCACTCTTTACTCGCTTCACTCTCGCTTAATTCTGTTTTCCCGTACCTTCGCAACTGCGGTGCTTTGTTGTTTAGGCCTATATCTGGTTTTCTTCAGACGTTTGGTAGTTTTGGCGGCCGTATACGATGTGGTTGCTAACTGAAGCTAATTTGTTAATGGTGAATTGGAGGAAATGTTACGAATGCCTAGGATGAGCAAGAAGAATTGCAATTCTGGTTCATTGAGTTTGAAATCAGTACAGTTGTTGTGGTGATTATTCCATCAGTTGATGAACAATCGGTTCTGTTTCATCCATAAAACATTGCTGAAAGGACGAGATTCTGTAACAATGCTATTTACTCCATCTATAACAGAGTTCCACTGTTTTCCCTGCACCGCTTCGTGTTGCAAACATATGTAATCAGTGTTGTATTAGCACTGTGTTAGGCGTGTCCTCTATCACCTTTTCATACCAGATGGGTAACTGTAACGTTCTTTCCCATCCAGGACAATGCTCGTGATTTTCAGATGCATTCATCATTGATTCGGAGGCTCTCACAGGATGGAGAAATGGAAGTAAGCATTGTTTAGCTCATAATAATGCCTGTATTTCTTAAAAACTTTCAACTGGTTCTTAATCTTGATTGATAGCTTCGGTACAGCCCTGGCGTAGTGTTTCCACCATCTATTTTGCACCGCATCTGATGTTCCTATAGTAACAATGCCTTCTTATATTTTTCTTGTGTTCGGACAGGGGCATCAGGGTTGTGTCAATGCTATAGCTTGGAACTCGAATGGTTCACTCTTGATTTCTGGATCAGATGATACAAGGGTATGTTATGTATGACAACATAGTTTGTCAATGGGGATGCATGAATATCTGCTGATGCATGGGTGTCCGATCTAGTTTTTCTAAGTTTGAATGTGAAAATTCATGTTATCCAGGATTCTGAACTTTGGAAGCAAATTCTGAACAGGTTTGATAACCGTCAATAATATAATTTAGATAAGCAATCATTAGGAAATTTTGGTCTAACTGTGATAACCGTCAAAGAAGACCATAAGAAGGGAGATTAGGAGGTTGAGGGGCATTATAGAAATTATAAGTAATAGGCATGAGCACTAGGTCATTGGTCAAGTGCTTCGTACCTTACCAATTAGTAAATTCAAATGAATTGAGTTAAGCTTAGACTCTGAGTATGTGATATTTTAATGCGCATTGAATAGTCGTGTTTGTTTGGTGCATGGGATGACACTATATATTACTCTGATAACCAGAGGTTTCCCAAATAAGCAATGTGTATTAGTTGCTGTGTTGCAGCTGCATATTTTCTGATCTGCAAGTACGTATGGTGTATTAGCTGAGCGTTTCAGCTGCAAATTTTGTAATAGCTTTTTCATTTGCTGCAGATGAACATATGGAGCTATGTCGGTCGAAAGCTCCTGCTTTCCATTGATACTGGGCATTCGGCAAACATATTCTGTACCAAATTTATTCCTGAGACATCGGATGAGCTTGTGGTTTCTGGGGCAGGAGATGCAGAAGTATTGTTCATGCACTTTGAGTAGATGTTTGTGCTAGATGTTGATATTTGTTGACTTGCTGACAGGTTGTTTCTCCTTCTTCTCCTTCAGGTTAGGCTATTCAACTTGTCTCGATCAGGTGGGAGAGGTCCTGATGATACTGGAATTGTTCCTTCAGCACTCTACCAGTGTCACACTAGAAGAGTAAAAAAATTAGCTGTAAGATTTTCTGGTACTGACTGAGAAGTCTATTTACTTTATGGATCCTCATGAATTATGACCTTGAAGTTTCTATATTTTAAATGTTCGTTCTTTAGAAGTAAACAAAATTGTCATCCAATCCTTGGCAGTCCTAGTTATACATGCATTTTGTAGGTTGAAATTGGGAACCCCAATGTGGTGTGGAGTGCTAGTGAAGATGGAACACTGAGACAGCATGACTTTAGGGAGTGTGCTTCTTGTCCAGCAGCAGGATCTTCTCAAGAATGCCGCAACATTTTGGTAACTTTAGATGTTGCGATTGCCTAACAATTAAGTTTTATGAATGGTTAGACTAGACCTATCATAAATCTCAGCAGACATATCCAATTTTGGTAACTTTAGATGTTCCTTTTTGTTTTTGTGTTCTCATATATGCTAGGGACTTTTATTCAGAAATATTATCTTGGTTTTGCCGTTTGATTTGGGTTAATGTGCCTGAAGTCCTGGTATGCTTTTTAGCTGTTGTTGCAACAGGTGCTATTTATTTTCTTGTCTTCTGTATGAGATGCTATGGACAGTTGTCTTGTCATTTCTGGACAGACTATTATGGAGTCCGTTATGTTGAGATGAATTCAGTTAGTACCTTTTCTAGCTAGGAGCCTAGGACTGTGATTTCTGGAACTGCTTCCATACAGCTTGGAAGAAAAGTGCTGCTGTCGTATGCTGTGTGCAGTCTTGATTGCTAGGTTATAGACGTTGCTAGCAGATATTTATTGTTCTAGGGAAAAATAAAGGGAAATATAACTCTCTACATTGGTAGTGGGAAGTAACATATGTACTGTGGATGTGTATGTTCCGTCATTAATATGTACGGAGGTCTTTACATCATTTCAAGCTAACAGTATGTTTAAAGTTCAGCAGCAATTATAAAAAAATTAAAAGTAAATATAAGAAAAAAAATTAAATCATCTCATAAGTTCCTTAGAAACGCTTATTAAACGTAAAATATGTGTTTTATACTTGTTTAGTACATCAAGCATCAAAGAAACGGGGGAAAATTAAATGTCTGTGCAATAATGTGGGAACTGAGTTTTAAACATATTTAGTACGTATACATGTACTATACGGGGTATTGAATGGATTTTTACTAACTAAGCCTAGTTGTACTGGACTCCACCCAGACAAAACAAAAAACTTGCCACTCTAGTGATGGTGCTGAACAGTAACACTGACAGGACATATCTGTTGGTGATATTTCTGTTTCCTTTGAATTTATACCATCAAATTTATATGCATAAAGTTAGTTGCTTTTCACATCTAGTACTTGGTGGCAGCTTGACTTGCGGTCTGGAGCTAAGAGGTCTCTTGCAGATCCCCCAAAACAAGTTCTTGGTCTAAAGTCTTGCGACATAAGCACCACTCGTCCTCATTTGCTACTTGTTGGTGGGAGGTATATGTGTAATTTCTAGAGAGATAATATTTTCCCTCAGTTTTGTTGTAATCTTCACTGATGTCTTAACCCTGAATGTTCGCAGTGATGCTTTTGCCCGTTTATATGATAGAAGGATGCTGCCTCCTCCGACTTCTTGTCAGAAAAGGACATCGCCACCTCCTTGTGTGAACTATTTCTGTCCAATGCATCTCTCTGAACGAGTAAGTTTTGTCCATGAGTCCTACCAATGTTCATTGTTGTGTTCAATCTGTACCCTGAGCTTCAAGAATTGGTAACTTTTCCAATCTAGACACTCTTTTTTTGGGGTAAGAATGGCCTAATATAATAGGGCCCCTGATTAAGTTTGGAGTTTAAATTTTGTCCCATTGTTGATTTCCTCTTTTTTTTTTTTTAATAAGAATTTCAAGATAGTACTTGTTATTAGAATTGGTGGCCAGTCAAATGTTTAAGTGTCCAGAATTCAAACTTTTAATTTCTCTTTTCAGGGACGATCAAGCCTGCATCTAACCCATGTTACATTCAGTCCAAGTGGCGAAGAGGTGCTCATCAGTTATAGTGGAGAGCATGTCTACTTAATGAATGTAAATGATGGTATGCTTCCTCAGCTTTGGGATTGCATCAGCATGTTGCAATTTGTTGATCTTGTAAAGTTTAAAATAGCTGAAATCACTTCTTAGCTATATCGATAGAAAATTTTGAATTTAGTTAACTATTCCTTGACTTATTTAACTGTTCCTTGACTTAATCTTCAAAGTCCTAGATTAACTTGAGATGCTATGTGCTTCCATTTTGAAATGGCCCATTCGCTTGAACATTTCACCTTTTAATTGTATCATGCGTTGTTTATCATGCTGTGAGAAAGTAGGACTCTAGACTGTTTGGTTATATGGATGATGTGTTTAAAGGAATTCATTTTTTATTTTTTTATCACAGCTAGTGGTAGCCCCATGCAATATAACACAGGAGATGTTTCAAAATTAATGACATTCACTCCTGTGCTGAATGGTTTGGAACTGCAGTCGGTTTCCTCTATAACATCAGAGAGAAGTGACCCCTACAAAAGAAATGCTTCTCCCACGGTATGCTTTTTGTTTTTTCTGAAATTTTTGTATAATACTGATGATAATAAGCAGATTAATGTGTGTTTAGTCTACTTTCGCAGATTGATATGTGCGTGAAGCTGGTTGATATTGCTGTGAAGTCTTTGAAGGATGGAAACTATTTCGAAGGAATTGAGGCTTGCAATGAAGCAGTGCATGCTCATGGACGTAATATTAGCCCAGTACTGCTGATTGAATGTCTTTGCACACGTGCAGCCTTATTGCTTAAGGTTTTCCCTCGCACCTTGGATTACTTGGTGTCTTTATTAATTTCCTGCATCTTCACACCTACTAATTAATATGGCTATGATTTAATATCTGTGCCAGCGGAAGTGGAACAATGACGTCTACATGGCTATACGAGACTGCTATGTTGCTCGCAGAATCGATAGCTCTTCTTTTAAAGCTCTCTACTACATGTCTGAAGCTTTGTCACAGGTAGGGTCAGTGTGAAACCAATCAGATAAACCATGTTTGCTTTATACTGCTAATATTGTTCTGTCCCATCTGTCTGGACTTGGTTCGTTCATTCTGTAGTTCTCCTTTGACAACTATAAGCAGGTTTCCATGCGTTCATCACTGATATGTATTGTCTTAGACTAGAGCACTTGTCTTCTTGGGGGATGAATGATTTTTTTAAGATAAATTTGGCTGGTCATCTATGTGTATGATAAGTTTTCCTCGGAAGGGGCCCACTTCTCTTCTTTGAACATGAATGGGATTTTGTTTTAATATCTTGCTTTCATGGAAGTGCACAATTTCTCTGCATGGTGGCTAAATGTTATTATTTGGACTGGTGTTATTTTCTTATGTTTAATGGATAACTTGGAATGACAATTATTATTTAAATTTTGGTTTGGGGATGGAAATTAACTAGCTTTAGGCGCTGGTGTTTAATTGAAGATGCAGGATTTTTGTACTTGGTGATGTGGTCTTGCTGTTATTTTTAGTTGTCATATTTCTCTTTTGGCAGTTGGGGAAGCACAAGGAAGCTCTGGACTTTGCTGTTGCTGCTCAAAGTATGTCCCCATCTAATAATGAAGTGGCAGAATGGGTGGAGACTATGAAGAAGAATATTGCTGCAGGTGAGTGGTTTACAATTTTCCGGTGCCTTTCCATCTGCTTGTATTCTGGTTCTGTTCACCGGTTGTTGTTCTCCTCTCTTGGAATTTCACGACCCTTTTCAGTTTAGTTGATTGTTCTTGCAGTGGGTTCTCAGCTAATTAGAAAACATTTTGGCATGCTCCTATTTTGTGCTTTGTCATTTTATGTAACCTGGTTGCTGCTACTACCGAACAATATAGGAAATGGAAGTGTAAGGCTGAAAGTGTTTGCTTCTAAACTTTTCAGCGGCAAGGCAAAAGGGGAGGGGGGAAAAACTGAAAGAGTGGAATATCAGTATCAAACCACATTTACAGTTATTTTGAGTTATGTAATCATTCATATTTGCTTTGTCATCATGCAAGTTGTCTAGTATAAGCCTTCCAACTTTCTAGTGAACCTTAGGTTGTCGTTTCCTACTTCTCGAGTCATCATGTATCCATTCATTATTGTCTTATCCGCTGACAACTTATTTTGACCCAAAATCGAATCTGCCTAGTCATTGCGCAAATTCATACTTGTTTAAAGAGATCTACATACTCATATGCCTATCATTTGGTCTGTTCTTTGTAAAAAGTAAAACAAGCCCAGACCTGCTTCAAGTTACAAGATGTACATTTGTTTAAAGAAGCTCACAATTTACCTTTGTCATTCAGCTTGTTCTGTAAAGTTTTTTTGTTTCTTAGTGCTGTTGAAGTTGCTAAACCAGAGTTCCTCCTCAGCATAGCATGCATAACGTAGGGCACATCGGCTGCATTCAGATTGTATCTGCATCTCACTTGGGTTTTTGCATGACTTGCAGAGGGTGAAGGTAAGGCAGCTGAAGGGGCACCAAAGTCCGAACCTCGAAGTGGAAGATCTTTGTCATTGAGTGAATTACTCTATCGATCTGAGGGTAACAGTGATGCGTCACAAGATGGCCCAAGGCCAGATAGAGAAGATTCAGACTATGACGAGGAGTTGGAGTTGGACTTCGAAACTTCAATATCAGGTGATGAAGGACGGGATGTTGATCCCAACACTCTTCATGGAAGCTTAAATCTTAGAATTCATCGGAGAGGTGATGATTCAAGAGAAACAAGCTCTACAAATGGATCTTATGGCTCGCCATCTTCACAAAATGACCATGCACCTTATCAGGTCCTTGTTCAGTTCTTTTGTGTCATTGTTTTTCATATTGTATAATAAAACTGTTATTTTGCTTGCAAGGTTTTTCATCTTGATTGGCCTAGATTTTTCTATCAGAACAGTAGAGGAATCGATAACTGAATGTTCATGTCCTTGACTGCTTGCAACGAAAAAGGCATGGAGGGATTTAATGATACTTGTTCTGTTAAATAGGGTTTCAAATAGAAGAACACTGAAGTTGATGTTATTAACGTCTGTTGTTTCATGGGTTCTACCATCTTGCATGCTGTTAGGTGGCCTCAAGAAGATTATATGGAATAGGCAGCACATTAATCGCTAGGTTTACATGGCCCTCGAGTTTGTTCTTTCCAGTGTGCTACTGAAACAATCTGGCCTTAGTCATTGTGAATACTATTATTTACATAATTTGTATGTTTGAATGCGCGCCTCAATCTTCTCATTTGTTTCTCCTTCCACAGCCAGAACCAGCCGTTGACATGAAGCAGAGATTCATTGGCCATTGCAATGTTGGAACAGACATAAAACAGGCCAGTTTCCTGGGGCAAAGAGGTATCTATTTCTATCAATGATTTTATTATTATTATTTTCTAATTAAAAATCTTGATGTATGGTGTCTTTAGATTCCTATGTTTACTTCTTGTGCTCTTTCTGTCTGATTCCTGTCGAATCCAACAATTCATATAAACTGCATTGAGATTTATCACATTGACTTTGCAGCCTGGCCATTTATATTGTCTACCAAGGTTTCAATCTAGTTGCTTGCAACTTTTTTCCTTGTTGATTGTGGCAATATCCAAGGGCTAGATGTCTGTTATTGTTAACTTAGTCCTTGTCAAGTTGGTTTCTGTTATCGAAACGATCAGTCTGGTGGCTTCTTGGCTTGGGCAAGAATTGAATGCTTTTCTACTCATCCATACACCAGCCCAAGCACAATAGCCAAATTTCGCTCTCTCTGAGTCGGGAGTCCTAGATTACAATCCCTGTTCTTCCCTGGATCATGTTGAGGACCCTTTGCTAAACTAAATGGTAAGTGGTATGCTGCAAAGCTGACAAAGTCCTGTTGGGAAGCTCATATTACACTTGCACTGGATACAGTGTGTTACGGAGATAGATTGATCATGTCTCAAATTATTACTCGTACAAATGATGGTTTATTGCAACCTTAAAAACTCATCAATTCTAGAGGGACAATCTTAAATAAAGATGCTACCAGGGAACATACAGAAGGGGTTAAATTTAAGCACATTCGATCATAGGAAAGAAAATCTGGGGATGAGAATAGTGAAAATGGGGGTAAAATCAAGTAGAACCTTGAATCTAGGACAGAGAAACTGAAATCTTTTTTTCTGAAATAAATTCCTTCAGTTCCACTGATACTTTCCAAAACATACATGCATGGCTGAAAGGATAAAGTAGCAATATCCCGCTTTCAAAGAAATCAGCAGAAATAAGAACTATACGATAACCAATACAACTGATAGCTTATGCTGGCCACAGGGGATATGTTGCAACTCCAGAATAATAGTTTTGAGGAAAAGTCTCAACATTATGGTTGATAACATAGCATCAGGCAGCGTTAATTATTACGGGGATTTCTTCTGCTAATTGCTTTACCTCTGATCTCTAGTGACTATTGTTTCTTTTGGTTTTCATTTCTCCTAAGGCGAGTTTGTGGCTAGTGGAAGTGATGATGGTCGGTGGTTTATCTGGGAAAAGAAAACTGGTAGATTGATGAAAATGCTACATGGCGATGAAGCAGGTAGCCTTCAAATTTGTTTTGAGTGTCGAATATTCCATGGCCGCTGCATTATCTTTTGCCTGATGATTACTTTGTTTACAGTTGTCAACTGTGTACAGTCCCATCCATCTGACTGTGTAGTGGCAACCAGTGGGATTGATAACACTATAAAGGTTCGTTAGTGTGCTTCTTTGGAAAATATTTTTCATTTTAGGTCACTGACTTGTATCCTTAATATTTTGGCAATGGTTTTAGATTTGGACTCCAAGTGCCTCTGTTCCATCAATTGTTGCTGGGGGAGCAGCAGGACCTGAAAGTAATAATGTGGTGGAAGTCATGGAAACCAACCAACGTAAAATGTGCCACAATCGTGAAGTTGTCCTGTAAGTCCATGTAGTCAACTGTATCTATGGCTGGTATTGACTGCTGTTCTTTCATTAGATCCTTTCCCTACCTATTCGTGGTCCATTACTGGGTCATGTGAGGTTTTGAAGGAAAATACCTTTAACTTCCTTTTTTTCTCACTGGATCATAGAGCTAACCTCAAGCTTGCTCATATTCTGCTTGAGCATATGATATCCATCTTAATGCATCACACTGCGGAACCATTGATGGTGCCATTTGGGAAAGGAACACTAAAGGTTTGTTAGGATTATGGAATGTGGCGTAAATTCCATGGAATGATCGAAAGTAGGGCAGTTACCTGTTTGTTTGTTTCTTTTAAGTGGAAAGATGTGGACACCATGGAGTCCATATTCAATGGAGAGAGAATTCAGATACTATGGGGGCAGGGTTAGGTTATGTGTTTCTCCTAAATGTTTTAAGTTCATTTTAAGTTATATTAACAGCATGTAAACTATGAAGTGTCAAAAATCCACTTCTATCTATCACATTCTACGGAGTCTACTTCGTATTGATTGTACAGGGTCTGTAGATTGTAAATTTTCCAAAGTAAAACTTAAGGACCTGCAAATCTTCTGTTTACTTGACGTAGCAGTTTGACTAAGACCTCTTACTCTGGGCAAATGCGTCATGTTTGAGTGAACTCAATTTTTGCGTAGCTTTGGTTGACAAGGATTCTTAACTTTTGTGCGCAGGCCGTTTGAACTTCTGGAGAGGTTCAGGATGCATGACTTCACTGAAGGAACTCTGCACCCGTTCGAGTGTGCCCAGAGTTAGTCGGTGAGCGCTGATCTCTATCTGCATCCATGTTTGTGAGGCTAAAAAATTGTTGGTTAGGGCTTCGTGTGTGTTCTCCCATGTCTCGGTACTTTCTGTATCTGGTTTTCTTAAGATAGCTCTAGTCAGCCAATGCATTTTCCACAAGCTGCTATTGATGTTCTTCCTTTTCTTCCTGCTATTGTAGCATCGTTGCCTTTGCTGATTAAACTGCTGGGGGGTTAGTGGTTAAATTCTTCAGTCTGGTTTGGACGAGGTAGCTGCGCGAGAGAAACATTTATCGGTCGGGAGGTAGCTGTGATTGTATAAAGAAATAAGGTAAATATTTGCTGTCGCCACTTAGTCGTGTATGAGAAGAAAAAGAAGCAAGGATTTGGAATAAATGAAAGACCTAAAGTCGGTCTACTTAGGCATGCATCCATATGTGGTGAAGCTGTTTACCAGAGTCTATTTTGGAAGACTCACTGTAACGGAAAATGTGAAATATATAAAAAGTGTTCACCTTGTTTCCTTTTGTTTTCTGCTTTCGTGGGGTAGGGTTTACTTGGGTATGTTTACGATGGTGTTTAATATGGCGCTGGTGTGGAAAGATTTGGTCTGTGTTTTCCGGTAGAAAGAACCCCAAGACTCTGTGTGTGTATAAACTTGATGAGGTTGCTGGGTGGTGGTCTGGTGGATGTGGTCGTGGCATTGTGTTCCGTCACGGCTGCAGCATCTTCCCTACCGCCATTTTGTGGGATGAAATCTCATAATACATATATTTTTAAAAACAATTCTCAAAATACACACGTTATAAAAAAAATTCCCAAAATACACATGTTTGTTCATCACTGCTGTTGTCAACCGTAGTGATTGCATTCAACGCGGCAGACCAAAGCGGTGAATGCATCACCGCGGTTGACGGCCGCGGTGAATGCCTGACGTAACACTGAAACTTTAAACAAACGTAACTTTGCGCTCGGTTATCCGATTGTAGCGATTTTTTTTTATTCCAAATAACTTTTCAAGATCTTTCTATCTGAAGAAAGACTTAATCTCAAAAAAATGTCGTTTGTTACCCCGAATGAGCAATTTTTCGATTTTGCCAAACTTTGGAAGACCATAACTTTTAGTTCCTCAATCCGAACGTCGTAAAGTTTTTTTTGATTGCGTATAAATTTTTAAGAACTACAACTTTTACTAGGAAAGAATTTTAAAAAAAAAAAGTTTTTGGGTATATAGGATTTTGGCAATAACTTTGCCTTTACTTTTCACAAATCCACATACTTTCCAAAATTATGGTTATAATAAAAGTTGTAGTACTTCAAAAGTTATGCGAAATCAAAAAAAGTTTCATGACATTCGGATTGTGGAGCACAAAGTTATGGTCTTCCAAAGTTTGTCAAAACTGAAAAATTGCTCGTTCGGGGTAGCAACGATTTTTTTTGGGATGAAGGCTTGTTGAAGATTGAAAGATCTTGAAAAGTTATGTGGAATCAAATTTTTTTTTGCTACAATCGGATAACCGAGCGCAAAGTTACGTTTGTTTGAAGTTTCAGTGTTACGTCAGACATTCACCGCGGCCGTCAACCGCGGTGATGCATTCACCGCTTTGGTCTGCCGCGGTGAATGCAATCACTGCGGTTGACAACAGCGGTGATGAACAAACATGTGTATTTTGAGAATTTTTTTTATAACGTGTGTATTTTGAGAATTGTTTTTAAAAATATATGTATTATGAGATTTCATCCCACAAAATGGCGGTAGGGAAGATGCTGCAGCCGTGACGGAACACAATGCCACGACCACATCCACCAGACCAAATCGAACAAACCGGAGAGACAACATTGAGGCTGGTGGAGTAATAGTGCCTTAAAATGGAAAAGCTTTGGCGAATCAACCACCGCCTAAGGCTGACTCCAATGCTGCCCCCATAAATGGGAGAGGAAGCTATCCAATGCGGCCTGCAAAAACGGAATAAACTGCATTAATGGGGGTGGCCTCCATTTGGGTCTCCAAATATGGAGGAAAAAATGGAGAAGTCGGCAATTATGGGGGGTGATGGGGGAGCAAATTGGGGGTGGGGCGGGACAACCGCCAGGGACAGGCACCGCTTGTCCTTGGCGGTTGTTCCGCCCTTTTTTTTTTAATTTTTCATTAAGTGTTTATTAATGATGATTATATAATTAATAAGTGAAGGTTAGTGAATTAATGTTTGTATTAATTAAGTGAAGGTTTTCTATTTAATTTGTGTTTAATAGTTTGGTTAATTTATTTTATTTCCTAAGATGATTTAAATTGAATTCATTTTATTTAAAATTATGCTTATTATCTAGAAGTTGTGTACACAAAAAATAATTCTAACTAAGAATGGAAAATATATTATTGAATTGAAAATACGTTCTTGAATTACAAATCAAATTGTCACCAACTACAACTTTAAATTGAATTACAAAGCATCCCAACATCAATACCAAGCAACAATAATAACTAATTATTTCCATGTTGTGTGTTATTTTTAAGCTTTATCATTAGCAAGTGTTGCGTGTAATCTCTAAGTTGTATCATTTAAATTATTATGTGAACTCCTTTAGCTTTATCATTTTCAAGTGTTGTGTGTAAACCAAAATTAGGTCCATAATTTTTTTGCCAAAAAAATTCGGTCTCGAAATTTGAAAAAATTCTATCGAAAAATTTGTATCTTAAAATAAGGACGAACTATACAAAAATTAAGATTAACGAATTATATTAAGGCTTCGGTAAGTGCATTTTTAAGTAAATATAAACATGGATAAAATGGAGATCCCCAAATTTGAGGTTGGTAGCATTGGAGCCAAATTGTCAAAAATGGGGGCAATCCCCAAATTTGGGGATGAAGGTCCTCAAATTTGGGGTCTTGCATTGGAGTTGGTCTAAGAACGTTGTAGATAGGGTTAGAAATTGGTGAAAACCCACAGTCACAGCAGTGCAATTGTTCTGGTTTTTATATGGCAGAGAAAGCTGTTAAATAGTCTTGTGCCACATGTCTTTGTCCTATTGGACATTACAAACCTTAGACAATATTAATTAACGGCTACTAAACAAAAACAATACGGTGCACATCACCTTACATAAACATCATTCTGCTGGAAACGTTTCGCTGACAAAACGTTCTTCTGCTTCCTTGAAACCTCTTCTTGGAGAAATCCTTCCTTCATATGGATTTCCTCTGCAGCTAGAACTCTGTCACCCCCTTTAAGTTGTGGCAGGTAGACTAACTCCCAAATTGATCAAGAATTCCTTAAGCCTTACCTGATGCAAACGTTTTGTAAACAAATATGCTAACTGGTTGATTGTACTCACATATTCCAGCTTGATAAGTCCTGACTTGATCCTCTCCCTTGTCACATGAATTTCAATTTCAATGTGTTTCGTTCTTTTGTGGATGACCGGATTCTCAACTATATGTATAGCACATATGTTGTCACAATATACTATAATTGGCAGAGGATTTTTACACTCGGCTCTTCAAGTAATCCCTTCAACCACTCTATCTCACATAAAATCATTGCCAGAGCTCTATACTCTGCTTCGGAGGAAGACCTTGACACCGTGGTTTGTTTCTTGGTCTTCCATGTGAACAATGACCTTCCTAGGAAGGTACAATACCGTGTAGCGGACCTCCTTGTGTCTAGGAAACTGCCCAATCAGAATCACAGAAACTTGTTAACTTCAGTTCTGCAGAACTGCTACAATGAATCCCATGCCTTGGTCCATTCTTTAGATACCTCAGGACTCTAAAAGCAGCTTGAAGATACTCGTCATGTTGTTTCTTCTGAAACTGACACAGTTGTTGTACTTCAAAAGCTAGGTCTGGTCTGGTTATGGTAATATAGTGTAATCTGCCCACCAATCTTCTATACTTCTCTGCATCTTCTAGAGGAGTCCCTTCTGTGGCTGAAAGTCTGACTTTGGGATCTATTGGTGATTGTAATCCTTTAGACTCTTAAGTACCCAATATCCTTTAATAGTTACCGACAGTATTTCTTTTGGCACACATTTATCCCATCTCAGGTTTTGTTGATCTCCAAACCCATAGAGTATTGCAACGGTCCAAGTAGTTTAATTTTGAAATCCCTACTTAGAGCCTTCTTAACCTGATATATGTCTCTTTGAGCATCACCTCCTACTATTCTATCATGCACATACACTAGGACTATCACAATTCTACCTTATACCCACTTAGTGAATAGGGAGTAATCTGAGGCAGATTATGCAAATCCATTTCTCAACAGAAAATCTGTCAATTTGGCAAACCATTGTCTTGATGCCTGCTTCAACTCATATAAAGAATTTTTCAGTCTGCAAACAATTATGAAAGAAACAAGATTGAATGACCTTGTTGTTTGGGATTGATTTGGGATGATTTAAGGGTGTAGTTAGGAAAAGAATTTGGGAAGTAGAGATGATCAGAATAGGGAGGTGAGGAAGAAGGAGGTGAGTCGTAGCTCTCTGGAGAGGGAGGGAAGAATGGGACATGGAAGAGAGGGAAGATAGACGGAGAGTGATTAGTTTTTAACTTTATGGTAAATCTTCTAATAATAATATACTTAATGAAAATGGTTCCTGGTTTACAGAATATAAACCCGAAATAATTTTCTTCTATTACCTAAAGAATAATCCTCAACCCGAATAGGCCAATAATTTCTAAAATCCCCAAAAAGAACATCCAAAGCCCTAAACTTAATTGACCGACAAATTGGGACAAAATCACCAAACTCAAGCGAATCTCTAATTATTTCCCAAGCCCCCTATATTTCTAACATTCCACCCCCCTTAAAACCAACCTTGACCTCAAGGTTGATCGCCTTCCTTCTTCTTCGCCTCCTCCGCCTCCGCCACCCAGTTTTCAGCTTCATCTTCCCAACATCTCACCGAACACATGTATCCCACAATGAACCGATCATTGCAGTTGAAGTAGCGCCCTTCCCGCCTCTTCTGCTCGATCGGAGCCGCTGACAACTTCACGAAACCTTCAGGTGGGAAGCGGGGTGCCGGTCGAGCTAGGGATGGTGGCGCTAGGGGTGGGCAACGATTCGATTCACATCGGACCGAATCGACTCTCACACCGAATCGGATCAGAACTGTATCTTTCGATTCGACTTTGGTTCCTGAATTTGAGACATTTTCGGTTTTGGATCGGTCCAGACCGAAATCGTAAAATCAAGCTATGGACTTGACCGAATCGTAATTAAATTAATTGCCTATTTTATTAGGCTTTGAGAAGGCAAGTCGACTTGGAGTTGAAAACCCTAGTACCCTACGCGACACTTAACTATCTATAAATATGATTGACTTTTCCTGACTTTGACTCGCTGCTCCCGCTCCTATAGTCCTACCCTCAAATCAGAGTTCTCATCCGCGTTGCTTCGATCAAGAGAGCTGCTTACTTTACCTACACGATGTGAACCAAGTATTTATATTGTGTTCTCTTTTCTTGTTTAATGTTTCAGATATGGAGAAGATGCGAATAAATGACACCACAGAGGCTTCTGCCAAGTTTGACAACACCGCTACAAATTAGCAAGGTTAAGAACCATTTGTTTTATTGTACTAGTTCTTGGAATAGTTAAACTCCATTCTAATACCTTATATCATGTGCTTATATTGCAGAAGAGAGGCTTTCTCATGAACAGTAAAAATTCTGGAAATTGGGCGGTCCAACGTGCACTCTGAAAATGAATGTAACACCCTGGTATTTTAGGGTTAGGTTCGACTTTAATACGTGATCGGTTGGATTGACGGTTACGTACTAAGAGTTACAATCGCGGATTAAGAATAATAATATAATAATAATAATAATAATTATTATTATTATTAAATAAATTAATTAAAAATATATATATATATATATATACGCAAGAGGCCGCGGGGGCGGCCCAACCCTCACAAGTCAAGGGGCGCAGCAGACTCCCCTCTCCCCTCGTTTCTTTTTCCCACGCCAATTCCTATTTGGCTTTCCCAAAAACCACGCCGCCCAAAAAAACCCTTCTCCGGCCAGCCATCCTTTTCATTCACTAAAACAAACAAAGGAAAGCGAGCAGCAACAACCTTTGAACGAGGGGACCGCTCTCCTTTGCAACAAATTCAAGGTACGCTTCACATAGATTCCTCCTTCCCTTTCCGCAACAAAATAATCGAGTCGCCGCGGGTTGCCCTATTCTTCTCGCCTGCTTCTCCCTCTGCCGTCCCTGTTCCCGATCCCGGCCCCGATTTTGATCTCATCCCTTTCGCGGTTATAGGTAAGGATCCCGAACCCCATCGCTATTTCTAAACTCGATTTATCGATAGTCTAATCCGAAACTCGTATTTTATTAGCGGTGACGTTTGAGGGTTCGATCAACAAGGAGATCAACGTCCCGGGTCATCCAACCTAGGCCTAGGCACGTTCTAGAGGTAAGGGAACTCGATCCCTTTGAGTTATATCAATCGATTTGGTGATTTTTCGTGAGGGTGCAATTCTGAGGTTTTAGCAATAGACGAGCAGGCTTTTAGTGACTGATTTTGGGTATCACTAAAGCTGCTGGGGATTTCCAGAAACGCATTTTTAGATGTTTTAATTTGTTTCGAGCCTCTCTAAAGGTTGTTTTCTGGATCTAACAATTTTATAAATTGAGCGACGTCTAGGAGATGATTGTAATTTAATTTGGGAATTTTTGAAGATGTATTTCTATTTTATAGAAATTGTTCTAATATTCGTTTTAATTAAATAAAAATCTTTCCGAGGGATTTTTAAGGGTTTGATAAATTTCCAGGGTATAGGGACTCATGATTGACATGGAAAAATTATTATCCAAATTTTTAAGAAGGTTCTAGTTAGGTGGGAAATTCGTTCAAGGTAAAAATAATTAAGAAAAATGGTCGTTTTGAAGGGATTAATTCTAGAAAATTGTAATGGGGGTTATAAGACCTTTGGAATGAGGTTCAAGGACTGGAGTTTGAGAAGAGGATGTTCTAGTCATTCAAAAGGGGTTTTAAATCAAGACAGGTCGTCTAAGAAAGTGGATTTTTATTAATAGGTTTCCCCAAGATAATCCGGCTAAGGAGGGGTTTCTTCGAGGAATGAATTGAGGAGTCATATTTTCGAGGTGAGTGTAAAGGGGGTAAAATCTCTGTCGAGGTCTTTTTAGTTTATGCTTTTCGTTCAAGTTATTAATTAGTTAATTTTTGAGTAATGCGCGATATGTGTGTGAGGCATCCCACCGCCTGTAAGGGTGGAGGCACGCGTTGTGCTATGTATGAATGTATGTGATGTTGTATGGATTGATGGTATGAGGAACCCCTGGGCGGTTGGGCTACTACTGGACGCGGTAGATGGTCGGGTCACTGCTGGACAGCGAGATGTAACGCAGCAGTTGATCGAGTATGTTGGGGTCGCTACTGGACGGCGAGACGTAACGCAGTAGTTGACGGGCATGGACTAGACGAAGAGACGTAACGCAGTGCCATTGCTGAGTTTGGGTATGCAATCGGACGGCGAGACGTAACGTGGTTGACATACTAGGGAGGGTAGGACACCGGAAGGCGAGACGTAACGCGGTGGTCCTAGTGTTTTGTGTTGAGATAAGGATAGAGGTCGCGAACTTTTATGAGTTAATGTTGAAATGAGTTGATAAGAATGGTTATTTAAGAGCAGAAAGTGAGAACGGCTTTCATGCTAGGAAGCCATTCCCCTAATAACGTGTTTAGTAAGGAGGTTGCCTAGGGAAAAGACCTTAGAAAGTAATGACGAGACTGACCCCTTCTCACTCACCAGGTGCATAGAGGGGAAGAGGACGCATCCATCAAGAGGAGATTGCCCGAGGAGAGCAGCCGCGGCTAACCTGAAGATGTCAACTGGATCTTGGTAACGAGATGGGACCCCCCCCCCCCCCTCATATTATATTTGTCTTTAGTTTCATGTCTTAATGAGTATACTGGGAACCTCAAGGGTTGTGTTTATGTTTTGTTGCTCTGGGTTGAGGTCGCCCAAGTGTTTAGGGCATTTCACTTGAAAATCTTAAACATTGTGGTTGTTGGTTTTTGGTTTTGACTTGTAAACCTGTTTTGGGTTGCTCCGGAGTAACCGGTTTGTGATTTGAGTTGTGGTTTGGTTTTCAAAGAGAGCGGGTCGTGTCATTTTGGTATCAGAGCCGACATTCTTCTGTTCTTGGTCTCCAAGGAATATTGGATTGACGATCTGGGTTTTCAAAGGTTTAGTTTTAAATGAAAAACAAAAGGGAACTTTCAAGAAAAATTGTTGGCCAACCGATTTGAAAAGGTTTATAGAGTCCCCAGTATACTCAAGCATGATAAGACATTTAATGTGGTTCTAATAAGGGTACTACTTACTTGCAGAGCAAGTAACGCCAATGTTAACCACGCGGTGGTTAGGCAATCCCCGAATTATGAGGCTTTCCGGAGGCGAGGAGTGGTGGATTTTGATGGGGGACCGCTCGAAGGATGCTAGTGAAGTAGAGAAATGGCTGGCGAAGGTCTCGTGCACATTGACTGAAATGAGGGCAGATGATGAAGATCGGGTACTACTGACAGTATCCCTGTTCCGGGATTCAGCATACAATTGGTGGTGCAACCTTCCAGCTACTCAGGAAGACCCACCAACTATCACTTGGCCAGAGTTGGTGCGGGTGTTCCGGGATCACTATGTACCAGAGGCCTATCGACTGAGCAAAAAGAGGGAATTTTTGCTGATCAAGCAAGGATGGGGCAATGAAGGAGAGGAGGGTGTTGCAGAGTACACCTCCAGGTTCGAGAAGCTGCTGGCTTATGGGGGACCCCAGTTCCAGGGTGCGGCATCTCAACGTGCCCACTATTTGGAGAGTCTGAAGCCTGCCCTTAAGAAGCAGTTGAGCATGCTGGTATGGAACAGTCGGGAGGAGATTTATCAGGCGGCTCTTCGGATAGAGAGGGCTGACACAGCTATGCGTGAAGAAGGGATACAGCGAGAAGGAAGCAACAGAAAGGCAAGTAGCATGCCAGAGTGGTCTGGCCAGCCCAGTCAGTACAGAAGGAGGCCGAGCCAAACCGTTAGCTTTGGGGGTACTCAGAGTCAAACCAGCTCGGTTCGGCCTGGTCAAACTTTTAGCAACAGAGGTCTCTGCAACCAATGTGGGCGGGATCACTCATGGGAGTGTAGGCAGCCCCCCAAGGTCTGCTATAACTATAACGAGCCTGGGCATCTCGCTAGAGAATGCCCCTGGAGATGCGGACAAGGGATGGCTCGGTCCGAGCAGTCTGTCCGGGGTGGTGGAGCGAGGACTCACGCAGGACCACGGTTTGGTGGCCAGCCAAACCGCTCTTTCCAGAGCCAGGGAGGACGCGCTGGGCGCTTCGACTGCACCGATCGGGACAGAGACCAGGGGCCTCCAACATGAGCACAACCGAGGGTATTTGCCATGCGAGGGATAGAGGGAGACAGTGGTGACAGGGGGGGGGGATGAGCAAGCACATTGATGTGATCACGTGAGGAAATGGGGAGACTGAGGAGGAGTATTTGCTTTAAGCATAGACCGCTAGTTGGTTGTTTTCTTCGATCGACGCACTTTCAGTTTAAGTATTCGGTACCAAACCTATTAAATAAGTTCGGACCAAAATTTCAAGGTCAAAATTTTTTTCAAGGGGGAGGGAAATGTTATATTCTGGCTTGAGAAGGTTTAGGCAAACACCAAAAGTTTTAGACCAAGTAATTATCTTTCCAGTTCCAAATTTCGAGGTACCAAGTAATTATCTTTCCAGTTCCAAATTTCGGGGACGAAATTTTTGTAAGGGTGGAGGAAATGTAACACCCCGGTATTTTATAGTTAGGTTCGACTTTAATACGTGATCGGTTGGATTGACGGTTACGTACTAAGAGTTACAATCGCGGATTAAGAATAATAATATTATAAAAATAATATTATATTATTCTTATTATTATAAAATTAATTAATTATATATATATATATAAACGCAAGAGGCCGCGGGGGCGGCCCAACCCTCACAAGTCAAGGGGCGCAACAGACTCCCCTCTCCCCTCGTTTCTTTTTCCCACGGCAATTCCAATTTGGCTTTCCCAAAAACCACGCCGCCCAAAAAAACCCTTCTCCGGCCAGCCATCCTTTTCATTCACTAAAACAAACAGAGGAAAGCGAGCAGCAGCAACCTTTGAACGAAGGGACCACTCTCCTTTGCAACAAATTCAAGGTACGCTTCACATAGATTCCTCCTTCCCTTTCCGCAACAAAATAATCGAGTCGCCGCAGGTTGCCCTATTCTTCTCACCTGCTTCTCCCTCTGCCGCCCCTGTTCCCGATCCCGATCTCATCCCTTTCGCGGTTCTAGGTAAGGATCACGAACCCCATCGCGATTTCTAAACTCGATTTATCGATAGTCTAATCCGAAGCTCGTATTTTATTAGCGGTGACGTTTGAGGGTTCGATCAACGAGGAGATCAACGTCCCAGGTCATCCAACCTAGGCCTAGGCACGTTCTAGAGGTAAGGGAACTCAATCCCTTTGAGTTAGATCAATCGATTTGGTGATTTTTCGTGAGGGTGCAATTCTGAGGTTTTAGCAACAGACGTTCAGGCTTTTAGTGACAGATTTTGGGTGGTCACTAAAGCTGCTGGGGATTTCCAGAAACGTATTTTTAGATATTTTAATTTGTTTCGAGCCTCTCTGAAGGTTGTTTTCTGGATCTAACAATTTTATAAATTGAGCGACGTCTAGGAGATGATTGTAATTGAATTTGGGAATTTTTGAAGATGTATTTCTATTTTTTAGAAATTGTTCTTATATTCGTTTTAATTATATAAAATCTTTCCGAGGGGTTTTTAAGGGTTTGATAATATTCCATGGTATAGGGACACATGATTGACATGAGAAAATTATTATCTGAATTTTTAAGAAGGTTCTAGTTAGGTGGGAAATTCGTCCAAGATAAAAATAATTAAGAAAAATGGTCGTTTTGAAGGGATTAATTCTAGAAAATTGTAATGGGGGTTATAGGACCTTTGGGATCAGGTTTAAGGACTGGAGTTTGAGGAGAGGATGTTCTAGTGATTCAAAATGGGTTTTAAATCAAGACAGGTCGTCTAAGAAAGTGGATTTTTATTAATAGGTTTCCACAAGATAATCCGGCTAAGGAGGGGTTTCTTCGAGAAAGGAATTGAGGAGTCATCTTTTCGAGGTGAGTGTAAAGGGGGTAATATCTCTGTCGATGTCTTTTTAGTTTATGCTTTTCGTTCAAGTTATTAATTAGTTAATTTTTTGAGTAATGCGCGATATGTGTGTGAGGCATCCCACCACCTGTAAGGGTGGAGGCACGTGTTGTGCTATGTATGAATGTATGTGATGTTGTATGGATTGATGGTATGAGGAACCCCCGTGCGGTTGGGCCACTACTGGACGCGATAGATGGTCGGGTCACTACTGGACGGGGAGACGTAACGGAGCAGTTGATCGAGTATGTTGGGGTCACTACTGGACGGCGAGATGTAACGCAGTAGTTGGCGGGCATGGACTAGACGGCGAGACGTAAAGCAGTGCCATTGACGAGTTTGGGTATGCAACCGGACGACGTGACGCGGTTGACATACTAGGTTAGGACACCGGACGGTGAGACGTAACGTGGTGGTCCTAGTGTTTTGTGTTGAGATAAGTATAGAGGTCGAGAAATTTTATGAGTTAATGTTGAAATGAGTTGATAAAAATGGTTATTTAAGAGCAGAAAGCGAGAACGGCTTTCATGCTAGGAAGGCATTCCCCTAATAACGTGTTTAGTAAGGAGGTTGCCTAGGGCAAAGACCTTAGAAAGTAACGACGAGACTGACCCCTTCTCACTTACCAGGTGCATAGAGGGGAAGAGATTACCCGAGGAGAGCAGCCGCGGCTAACCTGAAGATGTCACTGGATCTGGGTAACGAGATGGGACCCTCCCCCTATTATATTTGTCTTTAGTTTCATGTCTTAATGAGTATACTGTGAACCTCAAGGGTTGTGTTCATGTTTTGTTGCTCTGGGTTGAGGTCGCCCAAGTGTTTAGGGCATTTCACTTGAAAATCTTAGACATTGTGGTTATTGGTTTTTGGTTTTGACTTCTAAACCTATTTTGGGTTGCTCCGGAGTAACCGGTTTTTGGTTTGAGTTGTGGTTTGGTTTTCAAAGAGAGCGGGTCGTGTCAATGAAAATGGAAGATTATAGAGGTAATTAGTTAGACTACCTTTGAGATTGAATAAAAAGACTTTTGTCTTTTAGGTAAGTAGTTCTTGTTTAGCTTTTTGCATAATATTTTGGAACACGTGGTTTTTAAGAATTACGGAGTATTTAAATTGGAATAATTTGATTACTTCTTTTTGTAAAGTTACATTTTTTAATTCTTGTGTTGTCCTTTAAGAGTGATTTTATTCGAATGAAAGATTAGTCGGTCCAATTGGATGGTCCTGATCGAATTGAGCCATATATGGGTTGATCCAGACCGAATCGAAGTAATAACGATTCGATTTTGGTCGTTGATTTAGGAAAAAGATTGGTCCGGTCCGAGGATAGTTTGGTCTGGTCTTGGACCGAATCGACCGATGCCCACCCTTAGGTGGCGCAGGGCCTGCCACCGCCACCGGTGTACTAACCCCACCCGTGCCTCCTCCTATCTTCTGCTAGCGCCCTATCGCACTCATCCAACTAGCCAACTCCTCTTTCTTGCTACTCGCCAGTCTAAAAGCCACCTTGAGTGACTCTGGCTCAAAAACCTTAATTGCAGCGGCGATCTCATCCTTCAAACCTACCATACAAAGTCCCCACCATGGTCTCCTCGAGAATGCCCTTGCACATGTTGCCTAGCTTCAGAAATTCGTACATGTAGTCAGCCACAGTGCCTGTTTGCTTCAACTTGGCTAGCTGCTCGGGTGTCCAGCCCTCTGATCGACCGAACTAGAACCGCAACTCCTCCTTAAAGCGCTCCCAAGAAATCTCCATACATGCCTCAGCATATGATCTCTTGATCCACTCCCACCACTCTAATGTGTCTCCCTCTAGATAGAAAGAAGTCAGATGCACCTTTGTATCCTCCTAAGTGGCGTGGTTCTTGAACCACCCGTCAACAACATAAATACACAACCCCGCCTCCTCTTGCCCATTAAACTTAGGAAATTCAATCGTTGGGGGTTTAGCTCTAAAAATTGGTTCACCATAACCATCTTGAGTATAGTAATTTCCTCCATACCGGTCGTCTTCGAAGCTGCCATACCGGCTTCTCTAGTTGTCAAGGTGCTGATGATCATGGTTGTGCAGCGGTAGAATGGTCCAACGACCCTCCGCCTTGTAGAAGTTCCCAGACCAGCTCTCGGCCCTTGGCCGACCTCCCACAGTCGACCCGCCTGTCCTCCATCGGCCGTCGGCTTTGTACACGGTGGGTAAGTCTCCCCGCCGCTTGCTCCTCCACATACCCAGGATTGGAACTGTCTTGCCTCAACCCCTATGCCCCTGTCACGGTGGTTGAACCCTGACCGGATTGATTCATGTTCACCCGGATCGAACCCGGGTCGACCGAAACTGGTTTGACCGATTTTGATTCATTCTGGGTTGTTCCAACCCATGTCAACCGGCCCGCCACTCCAATGGGCTTGCTCGTCAGGCCCAGCGGCCCCTTCATAGACTTAAACTCTGCCTAAGCTTGTTCCTGGCCCATCAAGCTGAAGTGCTGAACTCATCCATCTCGCGGGCCCAGACCGGTCCTCACCCCTATTGGCCCCATTACCTCTCCTCTAGCCTGCCACTCCTCCCTGTTTGGGCCCAAAGCCCACCGGGCCTTGGTCGGCCCCCAGCCCTACAGAGTCGTAGCCCGACATCTTCGCCTTGTCGCGAAGCGCTGCGATCTCTTCTGTCGTCGGATTAGTAAGGAGGCCCGGAGAAGAGTTGGGCCCACTCGAGCCCAAACCAGGACCCGCCATGGGTCTCTGGCCTCTGCCACCTTTGCCTAACGACCCTTGCTCGCCGCTGCCTCGTGCGTCGCCGCTGCCATAACCGCCGTCACGACCGCCGCCGCCGGAGCCTTGATTTGGGGTCATTTAAGGGTGGAGTTGGGAAAAGAATTTGGGAAGTAGAGATGATCAGAATAGGGAGGTGAGGAAGAAGGAGGTGAGCCACAGCTCTCTAGAGAGGGAGGGAAGAACGGGGCATGGGAGAGAGGGAGAGTGATTAGTTTTTAGGTTTAGGGTAAATCTTCTGATAATAATATATTTAATGAAAATGGTTCCCGGTTTACAGAAATAAACCGAAATAATTCCCTTATACTACCTACAGAATAATCCTCAACCCGAATAGGCCAATAATTCCTAAAATCTCCAAAAATAACATCTGAAGCCCTAAACTTAATTAGCCAACAAATTGGGTCAAAATATCAAAACTCAAACAAATCCTTAATTATTTCCTAGGCCCCCTATATTTATAGCACATTCTTTATGAGCCATGATCCCCAATTTCCAGACATGGTGGTATTTCCATATACACCTCTTCATCTAAATATCCATGTAAGAAGGCGTTTGAGACATCCATCTGTTCTAGAGTTCAGTTCTTCACAGCTGCTATAGCCAAGAGTGCTTTGACTGGATTGATTTTGGACACTGGAGAGAAAGTGTCCAAAAAATCAATCACATAAACTTGTGTATAGCCTTTAGCAACTAACCTGGACTTGCACCTTTCCAATGAACCATATGGTTTAAGTTTTATCTTAAACACCCACTTATTCTTCACAACCCTCTTGTTTGCTGGTAAGGGAACAATATCCGAGGTTTGGTTTTCTTCCAGTGCCCCAAGTTCCTCTTTGACATATCTATCACAGTGTTCAGATTTCATAGCCTCGGCAAATGTACGTGGTTCCTGAATTGAAATGACACTCAGAGTATACAATCTGTCAGCTGTATTTAGATGATCCACATTAAAAACCATAGGATGCCTTATGGCTGCTGCAGCCTTGACAAAGGCTCCAAATTGCAGTACAGGGTCAATATCACAGTCCTGAAGCTTCTTAGGTAATTGATATTTTCTCTTTGGTCTTTCTGGAGGATCATACTCTTGCTGGGGTTCTAGTTCTGGCTCCAATTCAGCTATGACATCCCCTCATCAGCATAGGCTGAGTCAACTAGTGAAGGGGAGACACGAGTAGAACTAAAGGAATAAGGAATAGTTGAATAGAACTAGAGGAATCAAGAGGGGGAGGAATTGAAGTAGAGGGCGGAGAAGAGGAGTGAGGAATAAGAACTGATGGAGGTGGGGAAGGATCATGTACTGAATGAATAGACGAAGGTTTTACTTCAGAGAAATCCACCTCAGGTGAGTTCTCTTCATGTCTGAAAGGATAAATCATAGAAGACTACATCATGGGATACAAAAACCTGATAAGTAGCAAGATAAAGTAATTTTTAATCTTTAATGACTGAAGGGATACCTAACAGAATACACTGCCTGGCTCTAGCATCAAACTTAGTCCTTCCTACTGCAGGTGTGCCAACATAGACCAAGCACCCAAACACTCTTAAATGACTGAGGAAATGAGGTTTTTATAGAGAATTTCATAAGGAGAACGGTTATGGAGGACTAGGGTAGATATTCTATTAATAAGGTAGGTTGAGTGTAGAACACAGTCACTCCAGAACTGAAGAGGAACACCTAATTGGAACCTGAGAGACCTGGCCACATTCAGAATGTGTTGATGTTTTCTTTCAACACATGCAATCAGTTCTGGAGTATGAACGCAAGACATTAGGTGTTCTATACCTTCAAACCTAAAGTATTCACACATGTCAAATTCTTTCCCTTAATCACTTGCCTGTTCACTTCCATTTTCGTTTCCTATTTTCTGTTTTCATGTGATAAATTTGGCAACCGAAATGAGAAAACTTGTTTACTTTTCATTCTGTTTTCTATTCGTTTCCAACCATGAAAACAGAAAGTGGCAACTTCCTGCTGTTTTCGGAAACGAAAAAATATTGTTTTCACCTGTTTTCAACATCTGTTTTCTCAAAAACAGGAAACAGAAATGAAAGTAAACAGGCTGTTTTAACATATTTACCAAACTGATTCTTTACTGAATTGCATAAACCAGCAAGCAAATGATGTGTTTCACTCTTGTGATGCATTAAATAGACCCAGAGCAGTCATCAACCACAGTAAGAAAATGATTGCATCCATCCTAGTAAGTCATTGATAATGGACAACAAATGTCTACTTGAATCAACTGAAATAACTCAACTGCATTATTGGTGTTAACAAGAAAGGGTAGTCTCTTGTGTTTGGAGAAATGGAAAATGTTACAATGATCTACTTTAGAATCTGTTACATTTGGATCAGTTTGATGCAGCAGGTTAAATCTATCATTGCTGGGCTGGCCTAATCTCCAGTGCCACAGATCTGCTTTGTGAGGATTGAAATTGAAGGTGGATGCAGCTTGCGCTTGGTATTGAGGTAGGATAGTTGATTTCTGGTTTGGAACACAGTTGCACTCAACAATTGGGCTGTACTGAGTGTATTCATCCCATAATCCTTTGATCAAACTGTAGTACTGAGTGTTAATCAAACTACCCTGCTTACACTTGTGTATCTCATCTTCCATATTCGCGAGTCTATTAGCATTTAGATGCCCAAATCGTCTATGAAGTTCATCCCGTAGAGACTTGGCATTTTCATGGCTCATCACATATCGTTTAATATCTTTTTGCAGAGAGTTCAAAATCCAAGTAACCACTGCAATATTACAGCTATTTCGAAGAGTGTAATTCGGATCAATTGCAGGAGGCATTGGTAAAGACTCATCCACAAAATCCAGTTTATGCTTCATCTTAAGAGCCTTTTTCATAGATCTGCTTCACATGGAATAGTTGCTACCAACTAGTGGTTCAGAAACGATAGGCTGCATGAAGCTCTCATTTGGGTTCAGATAGAGAGGGTTACCAAAATCGATTGTGGCAGCGTTGGTGTTGTTGTTGCTCCCCTGACCTCCTGATCTGAATGTCTCGAATTGAAAATCACATTCATCGTCGTTGTTGTTTGAAACACCACTCGCATTTAAGCATCGTCGCTGGGTTGTGGCGAGCTCTGGACGGACATCGTGAAACGTTTCACAGACAAAAACAATCTTCTCGGAGCAATCCTTCCTTCATCTAGATTTCCTCTCCATCTAGAACTCTGTGGCCGGCTGCCACATCTCTTACTCCAAATTGCAACCAAATCCACCTTTTCTACTTGCCGAAGTGGAATTTAATGGGGAGGGTGGAGTCTGGCGAACGAGGAAGTGGAATTGGCCTGAACTTAGAGCGGTTGCCAGGAAAGAGAGCAGGGTGAGATAGGGAGAGCCGATTGGGGAAACCCGTTGATTTCCGCCAATAGTGACCGATGAGGTGGTCGGGGAACCGGTTGGCAGGGATGCGGCGACTCAAGATTGGAGGTGGGAGCTCGGCAACGAGAAATGGAGATTGGGAAATGATTTTTGGTTCTAAATTTGAAGTTGAAGAATACACAGCGTCCGACTCCCTTTCACTCCGCACCCGTTACCGATGTCGATGCCGATGCCGAGAGAATCGGAGCCGAGTGCTTTTTCTTTGGCCAGAGTGGAAGTCGTATCTCATTCCATTATTTGGGAGATCTTTGTTTGGGATTTTATGGGCACAACAGAGTGATAAGATTTGGGTTTTTGGTTATACTAGGAGGAGGCGATGCAAAAAGACAGAGTGAAGGATTCGCCAAAAAGAGCTTGAGGTCGCCTTTAATTGGCCTGACCTGCCGTGACCGGAGATGGGGAGGGCGGAGTGCACAACCCAATAATTAACTTTATTTTAAATATTTTTCTTTTTATTTTATTAATTTTAGATGGAAAAATAGATAAAAACTAATATTAAAAATTTCATGACAGATGTCACATCAGCGCGGACTAGACTTTTTGTTAAATACTAACGATCAAAGAAGGTCAACTTTAACTGAAAAATAGTTTAGAACATAAATGAAATATTGAATAGTTCGGGACACAAATGACACTTTTTTGATAGTTTGGATTTTCCAGTGGTATTAGCCCTAAAGAGAATTAATGTACGTTCTCTTATTGCATTTCCGGACTGCGATTACACTTTACTGCATTTCCGGACTGCGATTACACTTGGTCGCAGTTTGGTGTTGTGTTTTAGCGTGTCACTTGTTGAAATGGACTCTAAACCTAATTGGCATTTCTTGAAAGCAGTTTCACCATTTTTTAGGTTCAAGGTCTGACTGATAGATAAGCAGAAACACATAACTTGAGATAACGGTTAGGAGAGCATTAAATATGCAGTCAACTCATAATCAATGCATTAATGTACATTCGGGTTAATTCTCTAGTATAAAAAGGAGTCGTATTCAGAGAAAGGTAAGAAATTTTAGCTAAGAAAACTTTTGATTCTCTACATTCTCGTTTGGAGAAAATTTAAGGAAAGAGTTATAACACCTGAGGGTTATTAGAAAGTGAGCAATCTCTAACCTCCTATAATATATTATTTTGATTCTCATTTATTCTTTCTCTCATTTGAGTATCAAGATCTAAAAACTTTTCTCATTCCCTCAAATCTTTCTTACAGTTTCCACTATATGAGTAAATTCATATATTAATTCTTCATCTCTTTCTCTCCATCATCCTTTTAACTTTCTCCTGTAAACTTCTCATTATCCTATGTGCAAGAAATTCACTTACTATAATTATACTTTATAAAATAACATATGATTTAAGTTGGATTTCATAATTTTCATAAAAAATATAAAAATTATACTTTTCAAAATTTCATTCATCTTGATATATTTGGAATGAAGATACATTAATGAAAGTATTATACACATGTTCGGAAAAAATTAATAAAAAAATATTGAAATGTATATCATTTTGTGGATCTTAGCTAATTCCTTTTTCTATAATAAATTATTGAACACAAATTAAAGTGAAGAAGATACAATCAAATTTATCAAAGTAGGGATTAGAAAAATTATTAAATTTCAATCATTATATCAATCCATGGACTTGAGATTTAGTTATAGAGTCTACATAATTTTTTGATTATGTATCCACACCTCAGTCTAGGTTGCGTCCTTGTACATACTCAGAAATAAAGAAATTATGTTAAAAATGAAAAAAAAATAGAACGGTATTAGAGAAAAAGTAAAGCCACCATTTTTAATAAGTGTGCATGGAAGTGAGGTCAAAAATGAATTTTATGTAAAAGAAAAAAAAATAAAAGTGAAATACAAATTTTGAATTTTTTAAAAGAAAAAAGTAACATTGCTATTTTTAATAAGTGAGAGATGTCAAATTCTATATGTAGAGAAAACAAATAAATTTATGTATATTGGTTTTTCCTATGACATTTTTCACCAATCGAATGCAATCATATGTAGACTGGACCAAGATAACCTCATTAAAAAAAATATGAATTTTTTTCCAAACTCATTAGTAACATTTTTGCACACATCAAATTGTTGTTTTCATGATGGAACATAATTGAATTATATCATTATAGTTTAATAACGTCGCTATCATGTCCTTTATATAGCACGCCAATATTTGAAATTGATTATATTATCTCCAACTTATGCAGCAAACAGATAAAAAGTTGTTATTTTTTCAAGTAAATCACAGTATAAGTGTATTAGTCCACATAATTATAGTAGTACACAAAATGTTGCATCATTAGTATTTCGATTTTTTTTTTCTTACAAAAGATAATCATTATCATTGATTAGAAAGCATATCATTACATCGTGGAAGTAAGTCAAGCCAGAAAATAAAAGGAACGACATGCAGTCGGGTACAATGAAAGGGTCTTTCTAGCCACCACATGAGCTACCCTATTACTACTCCGACCAACAAATCGTACATTAAGTCCAATATGGACCGCAAAAAGATGCACCACCTCTTCAAGAATAGCTCCTGTCTGATTATCCCGAGTGTCAGCCTGCAAGATTTTATCAATGACCACCTTGGCGTCACCCTCAAATCTCACCTCAGCGAACCCGTGCTCAAGACACCAAAAAATAGCCCCACGGAGAACGAGTAGCTCGACAACCATCGGATCATCAATTATAGAAAATTGAACACCCTTGGCCAACAGGAACCGCCCTCCTTGATCCAAGATCACCATTCCCCCAGCCGAGTGGGACCCATGTTTAGTAGCCCCATCCCACATGCAAGCAATTGAATCCTGGTGACCAGAACAGAGCGTTTGAGTACCCAGGTGGCCCATCCGAGGACTACATTCACCCAAAAACCTGATCCACTCTTGGTATTGTTGGTAGAACTGATGCATTAGCGCAAGGATCCCGAATTGCTTGCCTCGAAGACCACCCAATTACGTGAGTGCCAGATCCTCTAAAGGATCGCCACCACTGCCATAAACAGATGAGGTTGATGAATCAAAAGCATCCATTTCTTAAGAAAGAGAGGAAACGTGTGACGAGGGTGAGCATGACCCCACTAGCATCTCCATAGTTTGCGCCCTGGCCAACAGCTGCGGACTAGCGCTGCTTTGAGGTCCTCCATCATCATTGTTGAAATCCATCCCAACTTCAAAAGCCTGCACAACTTGTTGCACTTTCCCGAAGAGGGTAGGGTTACGATAATCTATCTTAATACCACAAGCCCGACTTCGTAGCTCATATACATGTCCTTCACCCTTAGAGAGAGAGGTTTCAGAGTCATCTAAACCCTGGTTTTCCCTGCAATGGCCGAGTACATAAGGAGCTGAGGAGAAAAGGGTACCCGCGAACTCTTTTATGAGGTATGCATTCCAATCAGCAGGGTCGGATATAACTACACTGACCTTCGCCTTCCCCTTCTTGCTAGCCATGGTTGTGGCAATCTCACCCCGTCCCAGCTTTGACGGGATTGCATTTTGCATCGGGTGGTCATTGGACCTAGAGCTGCAAGCATCCTTTGGAGATGCTTCTCCCAGCTTGTGGTTAATCTTCCTCAAAGTGACACGTTGGGACAAGGTTAACTTTTTTCCTTCTTTGGGTTCCGTTTGGGTACCCTTCCAAAGATGCTCAGAATTAGTAGTTGGTATCATTGGTTAACGGGAGAGTCCTGCGGGGGCTCATCTTCATCCGAGTCGTCATCATGCTTAAGCTTACAATGTCTAGCCTGCTCCCGATAGATTTCAGGTGAGACAGTCGAGCTGTCCATTGCTTGACCATGTGACTCCTCATTTCTCTCCTTGTAGCGCTCATGTGTCCCACGCCTCCCGGGGATTTGCACGACCTAGCTCCAGCTCTTCTTTTGTTCGCAGACAGCTGGTCGAGGCAACCTTCTTTTTCCAGCTTCAGTCGACCCTTCGCCACGTTCTCGCTTCCCTTCAAGCTTTCGCAGCCGCTGGCCAACCCTCACCTTGGATAATCTCAGTACAATGAAACCAGGAGGGCTTCTCCCACATGAGCCCCACATCTCCTCCATGGACTTCATGGCAGCAATTCCCGTCTTCTGACCGTGATTAAAGAACAACCCATGATGGTCATGGAACCTGGACAAAGCTGTTCCGCCCTCGGCTTCTCCATATCCCGCCCATAGCTTGGGTTCACCGGACTCTTTGAGGTCCTTATTAATCCAAACGGACTTAGAAGCCCCATTAAAGGGTTGGTTATCTTCCTCATCATCATAAACTCTCGTCCCCAGCTTTTTGTGGACATGTGAGGACCGAAATGCTCTTTACGTGATGGGGGTTCGAAGTTGCAAGTACTACGCGAATGCCCCACCCTTTCACGGTGAAAACAAAAGCTTGGGAGGTATTCGTATTTAAGGCTGACCCAGAAGCATCATGTGCCATCATTCGCCGCCATGAGTTGAGACCTTAGTGGTTTAGATAAATCAACGAGGGCTCTGACTTTCACAAAGTATCAATCCGTCTCTGGGCAGGTAAACACTCCTAACTCCAGAACCTTCCCAATAGTGGCATTCACCAGTTTCCGCCCGAACTGCTTTGTGCAACAGTCCTCTTTCATGTCCCAAAGTTGGACGCGAAAAGGGACAAAAGCTAAGTCCTCGAAAGTATGTTTGGTGATGATGGGAGTCCAAGAACGAAGGTGCAGGATCTTGTCTTTAATCACCCATGGCGTTGGCTTGAGGACCCAAAATTTTGATTCCTCATTTGGTAGAACAAACTCGAATAGGCTATGTTTCGCGACAATCACCCTAATGCATCCCTTCCCCTTCCATGACCCATTCAGGGAGTCATGGAGCTCCATTGTGGCGACCTGGTTTTCGGTGAAGAGTTGACCAAGCAACGTACGAGAGTTGCGGAACTTCTCGGATTGGACTTCCTCCAGCAAAAATTGAACAACCTAATATTCTATCACATGCGCCATCTTGGTTTCCCGCATGGGAAGAGAGGTAATAGGTTTATTAGACTCGTCTACAGGCTTAGGTACACTCCCTGTCTTCTCTAAACAGTGGGTCAAAGACCCATTCTTCATGTCATGCCTCGTCAGCCATGATCGATCCTCCATCCCAGAGGGAAATCATGTATGACTAACAAGGGTAAGAGAGAGTGAGATATTGAGGGGTGAAGTCCACGTACCTGAACTATAACGTCGTCAGAGAAGGGTTGCTCTATAAACTGCCTCGGGTCACCACTCTCTTCGTACTGATGATATGAGAGTATAGGGGATTATTCGAGAAGTTATATAGAGAGGGTAGTCCCAATCCTTTCTGATACCAATACTGTTATGGTCACGTCGACTTGGAGCCAAAGGGGACTCTTCAAAATCAAATAACTTTTGTTATAATTGTTCTTTGATTTCCGGGGGATAATTCGGTTAAAACCCCGACAAAACCAGGGCAAAACTAATGGGATAGCTATCTCACCAACGACCAAGTACCTAACAGGTCTCCGTCCCCGAATTCGATAGCCGGCAGCGTACAACTTTTCTCCTGGCAAAGCCCATTCCGCCATCGACGAGGCAACAGGCAGATGAAAGATTTCTGAGTTGTTCTCTGCCGATTGTTTTTTCATCGGACTAGGGTTCTTACAGGAGGGATACAGGGAAACCTTCCAGGGAACACACTCCATCTCCGACGATGAGGGCAGATTGAAACACCACATCTCTTTTTTAGACGATTTCCTTTTCTTAACACGTATGTCATTCCACACTTCGCTGACTAGTTGGATGGGCCCTAGCTTTCTTTTCTTGGCCCAATAAATGGACATTCTATTTTTCAGTGAAAGTTGATCAATGTAAACGCCAGTCTCTCGACTTGCGGATTTATTTGCTTTCAAGACCCTAATTACTGACCTCGAGATTTCTCAATAAACGCCGTGAATAGGAGAAGCACCGCTAGTTCGGTGTCGGATTCCATTTTGATTTGCCAGGCAGACTTCAAGAACTGAAGTTAATGCAGCCAGCAACACTTGTCCATTCAAAAGGAGGAGGCCGATGGGAGAGCTCCTCGCATTTTTTTAGTGTTTCGGTATATAAAAAGGTTATTATTTGATTTCTCATTTTATAATTTGAAATGAACGTGTTACGAAAAATTAAGTGAAAGCGAATATTATTGTTCAAACAACTGTAAATGATTTTTAAATATATTATTAAGTGAAATCTAACAAAATTTTATTTTTATTTGTTAATAATTTTATGTTATGGACTAACAATAGAGCATATAATTTTTTCATGACATCTTTTCTTATATAATCTACATACAAATTAGAGACAATATTATAAAATTGGGTATCAAACTCGTTTTAAGACATGCGTATTTATATTGTTTATATTGAACCAAGATAACTTGATAAAAAAAAATAGTATGTATATTTATTGGTATACTTTATATGAATTTACATCAAATTGTTGATTTCATGAGCACAGATAATTGAATTATATTAGTATAGTTTAGAAATGTGATGGTACATGAATTTGTTTATATGGATACGTGATTGTAATCATATCCTTAGTATAGCATGTAATATTATAACTTGATTGTATTATCTCCAACTTATGCATCAAACATATACAAAATTGTTATTTTTCTAGTAAATCACAATATAAGTTTATTAGTCCACATAATTATAGTAGTACACAAAATGTTGCATCATTAATGTTTTGGTATACAAAAAGGTTATTATTTGATTTCTTATTTTACAATTTGAAATGAACGTGATATGAAAAATTAAGTGAATGCAAATATTATTGTTCAAACATCTGTAAGGGATTATTAAATATATTATTAACTGAAAACAAACAAAATTTAGTTTTATCTGGTAATGATTTTATGTTATGGACAAAAAATAGAGCATATAATTTATTCATGACATCTTTTCTGATATAATTTACATATAAATTAGAGAAAATATTTTAAAATTAGGTATCAAACTCGTTTAAAGACATGAGTATTAATATTGTTTATACTGGACCAAGATAACCTGATTAAAAAATAATATGTGTATTTATTGGTATACTTTATATGAATTTACATCAAATTGTTGTTGTCATCATTACAGATAATTGAATTATATTAGCATAGTTTAGAAATGTGATGGTACATGAATTTTTTTATATGAAAACGTGATTGTAATCATATCCTTTACATAACATGTAATATTATAACATGATTATATAATCTCCAACTTATGCATCAAGCATATGCAAAATTGTTATTTTTCTAGTAAATCACAATATAAGTGTATTAGTCCACATAATATAGTAGTATACAAAATGTTGCATCATTAATGTTTTGGTATACAAAAAGGTTATTATTTGATTTCTTATTTTACAATTTGAAATGAACGTGATATGAAAAATTAAGTGAATGCAAATATTATTGTTCAAACATCTGTAAGTGATTTTTAAATATATTATTAACTGAAAACAAACAAAATTTAGTTTTATCTGTTAATGATTTTATGTTATGGATAAACAATAGAATATATTATTTATTCATGACATCTTTTCTTATATAATTTACATAGAAAATTTAGAGACAATGTTTTAAAATTTCGTGTCAAACTTGTTTCACGACATGAGATATTGTTTTTTTTTAAATCAAATAGAATTTATCATATTGGTTAAATGTCTTAAGTGGTTGTAATGGGATTTAATAGGTCGTAGGTTCAAATCTAAATAATGACAGTTGCTCAACAACAATCACAATATAAGTTAAGATTGAGCGGAGGAGAAGTGAGGAAGAAGATGATCGACTAGAAAAGGGTGTCATTGATTTGTTAGTTTTATGTATTGTTGCCGTTGTTATTGAGTTATTCCGACAAGTTATTTCGCAAATTTGCAATTATAAATGGGAGGAAGAAGATAAGGGTAAAATCATATGTTGTTATTTTCTAATGAAAATCCTGAATCATAAACAAACAAGTTATTTAGTCTAAATTCCACATGACAAATATATGATTTTTTTAAGTGAGAGATTTGGCATAAATCCCTCAAAATCAAATTACTCATCCAAAAGACCCTTTACAGGATAAATGTATATGCTGAACATTGGGAGGAATACCATCATTGTTTAAAAGTATGAAATATAAAATGAAATTAATTTAGTCACATTTATGCATTCAAATTATCTAAAAAAGTGTCCACAGAAAACCACTTTCAACCAAAGGTAATTCACTTTCTCACTATTGAACTCATCTAACATCATCTCATCTCATTCATGACCAAATAAATCTAAATAATATAATAAAACTTTTCCAATTTTAAGCTTTCAGGGATTCAAATTTCTCTTCTGCATAAGTAGACATGGCCATCGGGTCAGGTTGGGTAATTTCAGATAGGGGGCCTCTGGTTACATGTCGGGTCATGTAGGGTTGGCTGATTTCGAGTCAATATTGACCCAACCCATTCGGTTTCAGGTAGGGTTACAGGTCATTTTGGTTACGAGCGCTCTCAGAAACAATATCAAACATGTTTCATATTTTCTTAAAGAACACAAATTTTCACATATCCATGACAATAGTTTACTTAACACATGTCAATTAACATATTCTCAAATTCTCCCATGCTAATGAAATGAAATACAAATTACGCAAATCGTAAAAAAAAACTATCATAAGAACAATACAACTAGAAG